ATGGCTTATGATCTGTCAAATTTGTAGTTTTCTTTATTGGTTTTGAGTGTTTATCTTAAAACTCAAGTTTCTTGGTTATTTGCTCTTAATGTAAATCGAACACATTTGTGGAGTCGTTTAAATATGTTGGATTTTAAACTGTCATACAATTTTTTTCAGCGATAGTCTGTAACTGGAACCATAACTCTTATTTATTCAAATTGTATTAATATGTAAAAACCAAGTGTAACTTATATCATCGTTAAATCTTATCTTATAAAACCAGTGGAACTTCAAAATCGTTAAAATTCATGGCTCCCGCCGCATTGCGCGGATACACAACTAGTATATATATATATATATATATATATAAATCAGATCGGTTGGTTCTTGGATGGTAATCCATCAACCAATAAAACTGAACCGATCCAATCCAATGACCATTCAATTATCATCCAACTAATATCCAATTAATAACTATATATAATTATTAACATTTCACAATATTGTTTTTTAGTTGATATCTATATACATTGTTTTTTTAATAACTTAAGAAAATATATGAATAATTGATTGAAATGGTGGATTAATTGGTTGATAATTGGATCAAAAGATTGGACGAATCCAATCAAATCCAATCATCAATTGGATTTAAATCGGATCGGATGTTAAATGTTAATCGGATTGGATTGGATGACAAAATCCAACATCCAATGGATGATTGAATCAGATCGGATCGAATCCACCTAAATCCATTGGATTTCAACCAATGAACACCCCTATATGTGTGTGTGTGTGTGTGTATATATATATATATATATATAGGAGCGTTCAAATAAAAATCTGTCCCATTTGTGTAAACCGTGTAAACTACTCTCATCCATTCATTTTTTTGATCAATGACCAAGATTAGTTTACTTTATTTTAGGAAATTATATATATATATATATATATATATATATATATATTAAAATTTTATTTTATTTCAACAATAARGACAAAAATGGTAAACAAAATTTAACATTTGGTAACATCTTTCTCGATATTAATGACACTATTTTCATTTTTTAAAGCAATATATTATTTTTAACTTTAAATTACATCCATCAATAAAACAAAAAAATATATATATATAACACACCATATTCAATTATATGAAGTGAATCGTTTTAAATTTTGAATTACATTATATGAATGAAATTGGTTTCAAAATTTAATCAACAGACTAATCCACGTAATACTGATGATATTTCATAATTTTCATTATACCGGTAGATGGATCAATTGCACTTAGAAAACGAAATTTTTTTCATCGATTACTGACTTCATAAAAGTTTATAATACAACATGAAATTGTTTCACTTATGCAACCATTTCACTTATCAGGCTCAATACTGTCATGAACCAGTTTCACTTTCATGAAAACTATTTTATGTACAATAATTTTCTTATTTCACCACTGATTTGATGGAATCATTTCTTTAGTCCTTACAATCTTGAAGATTCTGGAACAAGTTACAATCTTCAAGACTATGTAGCAAATTAAAATCATTTCCCCGTTTCATCATGCACTTCGTTTATGACGAGCGAAATACAAAATGACTCAACTACACCATCAATGCAACGGGTTCACCATGAAAATGTTTCGG